TGGACATGACCTTGGTGATGAGTGCCGAGCCCACAGGACCCATGTAGATGAGGTCGGTGTAGCTGGCCTGCAAGTACAACGACGCATTTCACGAACGGATCAAAACGCGGCGAGGTCTTCGTTGATTTCCCACGGATGTGCAAGGAAAATGGCGACTTAAGTTGACGTGGACCCGACTCACGGCGTGGCTACATACAGAAAATCATTATTAAACTGTCAAGTTACTTGTAGGTGCCACGTGCGTGGGGATGATTTCAGGATCTTCGTATCCAGGTGTCACACCAGTGCAGTACAAATTCGCTGCCAATCGGTGCAAAATTAAACGCACTCTCGATGTGCACTTAGGCTCAACAAACAGCAACGGGATTACTTTCAATGATTTACGTCAGATAAGCTTGCTGGCGAAACAAATGTAACATGCCAGCGTTTCATCCGTTCGTTATTCACCGAAAGTATGGGAGACACCAAGTCAATGACGGCTTTGTCTCCGCCCAAGGTGACCATGGTGCCCGTCTGCAGGGCGGACAGCCCTCCGGTGATCGGGGCCTCCACCATGTCCACCTCTTTCTCCTTCACCTGAGGAAAAGAGGTCACACATTGGGGGTCTTCAGGGAAGGCAGCAAAGCAGGTTGATATTTAGACGTGATAGAAATATCAGCCGACCAACAAAAAACATTAGTCAAGTCTATTACGTACTCGCTAGTGGTTGCAGCTTCGCAGGAAATCAAGCCGAAATTGCTTTTGGATTTTTAATCAATATATTTTTACAATAATAGCAATGTAGCTATTTCAGGACCAAGGTTATCCATGCCCATCACTTCACATACTGCTGTCGGCCTGTCAGGACCACCTCCGGAGCAAACCTTCCCGTCGCGGTGACAAATACTCAGTTCACTGCAGCTAACCCCAAGTGCTGAACGTCTCGGGGTTGGGGTAACACGGAGCGGCCCTCGCTGGCGGCCTGTCAGGACCACCTCCGGAGCAAACCTTCCCGTCGCGGTGACAAATACTCAGTTCACTGCAGCTAACCCCAAGTGCTGAACGTACCTCGGGGCTGGGGGTAACACTGATCGGCCCCCGCTGGCGGCCTGTTGACCGTCCTCTGCCGGGGCGGCCACCGTTCGGCTTACCTGCTGGTGGTACCTGGATGGTCTGCTGATAGTCTGTGGTCTAGTGGTCGATCCAAACGGCGACCGTGTTGCAGCCCCGCCAGCAGGCCGTCGGCGCCCGAGTACGACGCCTCCACGTGGGCCGGCTTCGGCAGACCTGAGGTCGGCACGCGCAGACGAAACGGGTCCGTCACTACACGCACAAACGGGCCCGGCTCTTCGTAGTACCGCTGCAACAGAACATAACGAGAAGGGTCGCCTACTGGTCCTGACAGTGATCAAGTAGTTTTATTGTATCCCATGTGACGAAACGGCACAACAGTCTTGCACTTGACATTGGTTATCAATGACCTTATTTATCAATGGCCGTTGTCATTGGCCTGGCCCTTGGCAACGCTGGCCGCTTTGCGACCACCGCAGCATAGTCCGCGCGGACGATGCAACGCCGACATTATGGCATTGTGCCCCTGAGCCCGTAACCACCTCCGCTGCGTGCTGTCAGAATATCGAGACGTTTGCGATGTGCCCAATTGTCAACATTCATGATGACATATGGTGGCAACACACTTACATTGCAAATATCTTTCAAGGAGTGGCGCAGCTGTTTGACAAATCGGCTAATCGAATAAGCTGTTATTGGTCTGTCACTTCCACATGTTGTAGGGAGCCAGAGTGCACACACAATGATATCGCCCCGAAGCAGGCATGGTGCTGCGTCCAGAAATGCCGAAGTGAAAAATAACGGATCGGGTGCTTACCAAACACTTCAAGTTCGGTTGCGCTGGTGATGCTGAGATCTTACCACCCTTCTATCGATGTTCACACCGAAGCCGGCATGACACCCTCTCGCTGGCGCTGGCTCATAGTTGCTTTTCCAACCACAAATCACGCGACTCACTCACAATTACACTCACTTACCGACTCATTTTTACGCCCACCCACAAATTACGCGACTCATTTTTGGCCATTTTTAACCCCCACTCCCATGCTTACGAGCTGTTTGCGTTGGGTGAAGGGGCTCTCTTCCGATCGCGCTGTGTTAAAGGCAACATCTCATAAAGGTAACGTGTATTTGACAGCTAAATAAGGAAAAGGTGGGAAAGATAAACACAAAAACTGTTTGCCATGGGAGCAGATCAACGATATGCTGCTTGAAAGCTTTATTTATTCAAGATTTCAACATGATTTGCGGTCGCGCTTGAACTCCACGTTACCCTCCCCCCAAAAATCACGGTCTTCTTATGCTCGGATTACGCTCCCTCAAACCCACCCTTACCCCTCCATACATAACGTAATTCGTGGACGTCCTCCCAGACACCTTCTGCGGCATCTTATGACGATTACATTATGTTTCTTGGCTGTCTTTACTGGTTATGCTCTGTTCGGCTGCGTTGTCTGGCTCTGGCGTCAGCGGTCTCGCCAGCGGCGTGGGTGACATGGTAACAGACCCAATCACTTCGGCATAACGAAGGGCTAGCCAATGGAAACCATCGCCCTTGGAAACCCACACAGTTAAGACTTACTGATGTATTGGAACATCTTCTTCCCATGAGCGTGTCAGGCGGGCCGTGTAGACACGCTGATGTTAAGCGTCTGCGCACAATCTACAGGCGGCATGGCTGAAATACTGCCGGCTTAAGGCTCGGGAAGGCCGGACAATCTTGACTGAGTAGGAGATATTGGATGAGTTTTGATTGATATGAGTTGGATTAACTTTTGACAAATGGCGCTGTCTGGTGAACGTGATGAAAAAGTCCTTTGTCGCACAAAGCGCTCCGAATTGCTTACTCGTTTGGTTATGCTTGATTTTTTTTGTCAAGTAGAATTCACATTTCTTGGCTGGGTATGCCGCAGTATTCAACGCTTCGGTTCCTATTGCCGGTATTAACGTGAAGTTTTGTGTGCCGCCGTGGACAGGGGTCCGCCGTTCTGTGTGCCACCCTGGACAGGGGTCCGCCGTTCTGTGTGCCGCCGTGGACAGGGGTCCGCCATTCTGTGTGCCGCCGTGGACAGCGCTCTTGGTCTCCTGGCAATTAGGTGATGGGCAGGCAGGGGTAACTGTCGGCCCTTTTGAAACGATCTGTTCATCACAGTCTTGTCACAGCATGTCTTCCTTACATGTCAACAGTTCACCGTTCAAGATTAACTGTTGGCTACGCATGGTTTTCCGCGCGGAGAGACATCCATGTGCGCCAGACCAATCATGTCGGCTCTGTTTCGGCTCTGTCACTGCAGCCATTGGTGTGACGTAGAGTCCCTTCTACTCAACGCCCAAGCGCATTATGAAGCAGCTGGGGCGTAACGGTGCCATGCCTCACGGCTGACATCGCAGAGCAAAGCTCCCCGCGTCCCGCTACTCACACGTGATGACGACATCGGACTGTTCCGCCACCTGGCGGGAACAGGTGGCCCGCGGGATACGGTCGTCCAGGTCCGCGCCGCGCCGGGGGTCAATGTCGTACATTGCCGCCACCTTGTAGCCGCTGCGCAGGAGGTTCTTGCAGACGGCATCGCCTGTGTGCAGAGCAGCGGTAAACATCGATAGTAGCGGCTGGGTTGGACGTAATTGTATGCAACAGTTCAGCAGCGGGTTTTCCGCAGCTAGCTACATGCGACCAATGGACATAGAAACGACGCCATACAAACAGTGATATGCTTTGATGTCGGTATTCGTGAAAATCCATTCATAATCAGACCATCACGTAAAGCATATTCACAACCAATGGACAAATCATAATATGGCGGCAATACCCGTGCAGGCGAGCGGTAATTCCACTTCAAGTCGATTACCAAACCATGCTAGCTGGTACCCCTAGGCCATTATTGCTCTACCACACATAATTGGAAAATTCCATGTTACTTCCTCCGAAGCTTTTCCTCGAAATGTGCAAACGACTGATGTTTACCTGAACCTAGTTTCAAGCTTCGTTAACCGCGGAACAACGGTTAAGCCCAGTTTGGAGTAGATTCGCTCCAGTTATTTTCATGAAAATATAATTATATGAGTCGATGAAATCCAGACTACCAAGATTTTCTACACCATTAGAACTAGCTTAACAATGCAGCAAAGGTTCGTTTCATGAACGCAGCATTGCAACAAATAATTTGGACGGCAACAAAAAGGTAGTATCAAAACAACGATGCACATTGCTTCGTTAGCAAGACCCTATCCATAATTACGTCTCAACGGGAGACGAAGCGGATGCAAATTCACCGGTTCGGGCTGAATGCTAATAAAGAAGGTTTGGTGAACTATGCTTTGCAACTCTACAACTTCATGACAGGACCCTATATTTAAACAAAATGGAGGCTATACGATCCGCTGGCCATCCCGATGTCAGGCAAGTACATAGCGCGCAGTGATAACACCTGCTGTCAGGAGTGTAACTTCGCGATGTCAGTTGGCTGTAGGACAGATAAAGATCGTTGGTTATCCACAGATACTCGTAATTCTATCGTTTCTTCGGATTTCCCCAACTGTTTCCTACATAGTTGGGGAGATGGCGGAGTGGGTTGGAGAATAGGACATTAGGTCCACTCCTGCATGCTGTGACGCGTGGGCTAATGCCAGACACAGTGTGCAGCTAGATGTGGGTAGTGTTACGCTGGTGACCGTGCTAATGCAAACCTTTTTGATCTGAGCAGATAGGGTTTTAGTTGACTTCAAAGGTAAAATTATCAGCACTTCATACAAAATTGTTTTGATGTCGTGTATGTAAGGTTTGGCCTGATTTTAAAGCTGACAGCCACATCCAATCTTTTCAGGCATCCAGCTTTGCAGAGAATCCCTTCAGCCTCATGAGCTGAATGAAGGAAACTGAATCACTACGCATGGGGCGATGTAGAAGTCCAAAGACATAGGGTGCGGACAATCCGAGGTGCCATTATTCTCCAAATCTACCGTTGGCTCGATTAGCAAGGAAGATACAGGGAGTATCAAAACTACGTCATTATGAAATCTTGTTTTACTTGCAAATGCAAAGCGTTCAGCTTTATTTGTCAACACGAGCTCATCGTACAAAAAAGAGTTTCCTTTATTAAGTACCTTACTGCTCCACCATTTTCCTCCTTTGTAGTGAAAGCTTTGGCTGTGATCCGGCTGGTAACGCCTTTGCAAGCTCGACCGGTATGATAGGCTCATACAGCACCGTGGAATGTTAGAATCTAACCATCAAGCCATCTCACGAGTGCTCTCGAACGAAGTTGAATTCCTCTCGAAGGTGTTGATCCGCTTTGATGGGCATCGTGTTGACCCTTGTTAATCAGTAACGCGTTGACCCACATTAACCAGCGAAGTGTTGATCCACGCAGATTGGCAGCATGTTAACAATTCGTTAACCCTCTCTAGCATGAGTACCCATTCTATTTCTTAGAAAATACTTTTCACCGGGTTCCGGGAAAGAATTGAAAATTCGCAGGGTTGTTAAGGCTACGTGGGCTGTTAGTCTCGGGCGCACAAAACGAAAAAAGGTCAATCCGGATTGGAATCATTTCTAACAGCATACATTTCCATTGTCATTGGCTATTGTCGTGTATTGTAGGTAGGAATGCTTTGCCTGCAGACGATATGTTGCATGGGAGTGGGCAGCTTAAGAAATTTAGGTATAAATGCTTGAGTCAAAGACTTTGGAACTGGTTCATGTGTCTACGTTTCGTGCATGCACGACCTTGATTTGGTCTCTTGGGATCGCTGAAAATTTAATTGGCATATCAGAACCTATGTAAAGTGATCCAAGACACATCATGAGTGATAGGCAGAGCTCATGATTTTACGATTTATTTGCTGACCTTTTGGTGCCATGATGACGACGAAATAGTGCAAAAGGTTACGGAAAGAAGAATGAAAGCCGGCCAGAAAGCTAACAACGTGGCACACGTTAGCAAAATCATAATATCGGCGACGAAGTTGCATAGGAGTTAACACAGCCTGTGCTTGAACGAAATGTTCTACATAGAGGCCAGATTACAAATAGTCAATCAATATTGCACATGACTGCAAATGCAGTCACATGTAGTTCCGCCCTGCCCGTAACATGAGAAGGCGGAGGACATACTTAAGTTTAAACAGTGCTCAATATGTTTCCTATCGTATGTTGGTACCTAAAGACCGATGAAGTCATCATGTGCACGAGAAATGTCCATGTTTTCAAACTCGCACGAAGGGCAAAAACACCGCAGGTCGAGCGGGACCACTCCGCGTGCACGTGAGGTGCAGTTAGCCGACATCCGGCTGCCTGTCCAACATATACCATTTCTTTCCGGCGATGAGCCAGAGAAGGCTGAGAGACGGTTCAGCATGTCACACCGTTGGAAACCTTGGGGAAAGGGCATTGGGGAATCTGATGACGATCGCATGTCAGGGGTGGCAGGTGTCTCCGAGCACACCGCTGATCAGATAGCCCGAAAAAACTGCCGTCAAAACGGTGACAGACGCAAGTTGTCCTCCAGGCATTGCGCCCAACTCAGAGACACATAAAAACGTGGCAAGCCTTCGGTGATGCGTGGAGGTATTCCTTGATGTGCAAAGATACGTGACTCTTAGCGTCATGAATGGCTCCCGCATTTAATTGCGAACACCGAGCACAGCAAGTATAGCTGCTAAAGGAGTTACTACCTCCACATGTACTATTGATTGGCCCTGTCATTGATAAGCTGGAGCGAAATCTTTGTGATATGTGTCAGTATCTATGTGCAGACATTCTGTTTGTCACCGCTGAGTGCGGATTGGCATCGTGTAAACATGGATCAACAAGCCCCAACCCCACCTGCGAGCGATTGTGTCATTTGCGCCCGCGCTCCGCGCGAGCCGTGCGATTGGCTCCATTTGTGCCTGCGCTCCGCGTGAGCCGTGCGATTGGCTTCATTTGCGCCCGCGCTCCGCGCGAGCCGTGCGCGCGGGTGCGTGTACCGGAGACTTTGGGACGTTCGACTGCCGTTGCCATGAATATTATTGGTAGCAAACCTCAGTGGTATGTCTGGAGGAGGACCGCACACGCTGATATGACCACTATCGCGATTATTGTTCCATTTAACTGCATAGACTGCTCGCAGATGAGGCGCTTTCACTGTGGTAAAAGAACGCCAGAATGGATTGCTGGTATGGTACTTTCGTTCTTCGCAAACCACTTTATGTCCACGAGGACGCCATTTGAAACACATCTGTATCGATAAATGAGATGCTGCGTAGGAGTGGGTGTGCTTGAGTGCGTGCGTGTGTGCTTCGTTGTGAAAGCCTGAGTGGCGGGGGCCCGCAGAACACTGCCGTTTGGAGCACCGCAGAGTTCTCTCAGGTGAGTCTGAGCACCCGAGAGTCCTCTCAGACTGTCGTCGTCACTGCACGTGCCATCGTGTTCCTGCAGTGTGTGGACGGGTAAATCCATATCACTTTAGTTCCTCCGTCTGTGCTGGTTTGCGACGAAGTCTGAATAGGTGGCACGGTCAAAGTCGTATACGTGAAAGGGTGCCGTACAAGTCAATTACCGATACTCAGCGTGCATTTCGGAGTGGGTCAAATAATGTCCTCTCGGCGCGAATGCAACCGTAGTCTGAGTGTAACGCCTGACCTAGTATTTCACATGAACATCAGGCTGAGTGTCTACATCCTGAAGCGTTTGTTTTCCGAACATAGAAGTAATACGCGCTGAGCGTACAGCCGTGCCATTCTACGCCAGCTAAAGCATGAGGCAAACCCCGCCATAAAGGATGTTCCCTACTCAAAAGAATTGTATGCCAGGGCAGCGGGAAGCATAGTTTATCATCTAATATTGGCATGTAGACACATCATAGCTGTGAACTTAATGGTTGATGGACGATAGAGCCGTACAATGGCTATTGACTGGGAGTGCCTCCGGACCCGCCCGCCCTGCTGCGCGTGAGTGCCACGGCGGGCTACCTGTCGAACACTGAGAATGACAGCGGGTCAGGGCTGCCTGCAGAAGATCGCTCACCAAATTGCTTAAATGTGGTTAATAGCAAAGCACACATCCATCGCGAATTTGAGCTAGCAACTCTGTGCGACATGTAAATCGCTGCCAATGTCATCAGAAAGCAGTGTTTCGGGAACGACAGTGCCGTAGGAGTCCGGTTTCCGGGAACACCAACCCGTGGGCAACGACGCACCCCCACCCTCCACTCCCTTCCAGAACCCTTTTGGTATCATATAAAGGAGCGGTTAGAGAGCAGGAACCGCAAGGCCAGCTGCCTGGGGTCGAGGCCGAGCTGCGCCGAAACGCGTGATCAGCTGTATTCAAACTGAACTCATGACAGCACACGAGATGGTCCCAAGATTGTCTGTTTATTTTACAGACATGGCGAGTTCACACGGAGCGTGGCTATTCTCAGTCCAGCGTCAAATAGTGGAGCAGCGTGGCAGAGGCTGAAAGAACACACGAGAATGCAATTTACGCTGCCAACACTCGGGATAAAAGGGGAAAACGGAACATGCCACGCTATTAGTGAATATGTAGGTGGCACAGCATATAATGTATAAAATCATAAAATAGATATATCAAAGA